TCTATTGGAAGTTACCCTATCAGCGCGTGCGCAATTTACACTACCAGCGCATTTCGGTAAGATCAAACAAAGCCACACGGAGTTAGTTTTTCTCTTTCTCTTGCTCTTGTTTTTCTGTCTTTCTCTTATTTTGTCTTTGCCTATTCTTTTTATACTTTGTATTTTGCGAAACACAAAGAAAAACATCTAAAATGGATGCGAATTTGGAAGTTATTGAGTTGTTTTTATTTTCCGCGCTCAGGCTGACGTAAATGACTGGAAGTGAAATTTTACCTCCTTAGCAACGCGCGCGAGCGCGCGCATGAATCGGTTAATGGACCCTTAAATTTCATTTAACTATATTTATATTATTTCTTTTGACTCTCTTCAATATTTGATTAAGACCTTCTTCCGACTTCATTCCCTTTCTCCACTGTAAAACTTCACTCCATCCGAGGCACCGTTTTGATGCGAGAAAAAGCCCTCTTTCTTCACCGGTAAAAGTCGACCCTTTCTTCACCCCACAACACCCCACAACTCACCCGTTTTGAGCATCTCTGGATCCGGTACTGTTTTGTTTAGACAACTCTAAGAATTTGTGATCACAATAGATACTTGGCAAGCTTTTATAGGCTTGAGCAATGCGTTCTTTAACTTGCAGAACCTTTTGATGGGAATAATGTTGCTAAAGCCGTCAACCATCACTTTGACAAGATCCATATGAAGTTCAGGCTGGTAGGTTTATGGCAATCGCGTTGATGTAATATATCAAACACGAGTGACAGTGTTTCATCGGGATATCCAAACATCGAGAAGAGAGTTGAAAATACGACGCGCAGCGGGGTATTTTTGTCGAAATTCGAGGTGTTTGGATAGCCGGTGAAACAGTCTCGAGTGTTTGATATATCTTCTCAATCGAAGCAAGAAATAAGGAGTAAACGGAGAAGTAAAATCATGAAAATCTATGCTAATTAAGACCGGGTATCTAAACCTCCTTCACGGTTGTGATTTTCTTTGTTTTAACTTGATTGATTATTAATGAGTTTGAGAAAATCATATGAATCATGATTCATGTTCCACGCAAGTCGTTCATCAAGGACATCGACGTATGCTTTCTCTGTGATTACGAATAAAAGGGATAAGTCTATATGGGAATTATGGTTGAAAAATGTGCAATGTAGAGAGAGGATCTCACTTTTACAGCAGCTTAAGTTGTTGAAAAAGAAAATCTTCTGACGTCAACAAGTTTCTAGCCCATGATGACCTTTCTTATGTTAGGGTAATTGCTTCCTACCAGCCTGCAAGCCGTAGCAGTCTTTTGCCTCCTGAGAGTGCCTTGCTCTCGGTCACAAAGTCAACGACCGCTACACAGGATCAGTACTTTACGACTACACGGACATAAAGCGTTGCCTTTTTGCGTGTGTTAACTAAATTCCAGCCCCCTCCCCACCCCACCCCAAAAAAACTCCCTCTGCAAGCCTCGTTTTGAAGTGAAAAGCAGCAAGGTTGAAAAGAATACCCACGTAAATTGATGGTACAAGTTTTAACACGAGTTAACTTCGACTTTCCTTTAGGCATGGCACACGCTTAAAATCTCACCAAGTCTTGAAAGCATCAAGGTTACCTAGACACGACTAGACGTCCTGTGTTGAAAAGAATACCCACGTAAATTGATGGTACAAGTTTTAACAGAGTTAACTTCGACTTTCCTTTAGGCATGGCACACGCTTAATATCTCACCAAGTCTTGAAAGCATCAAGGTTACCTAGACACGACTAGACGTCCTGTGTACAGAACCATACCGTGCATCCTCTCTATGTGTCATTACTGAACATGAATTGGAAAAAAGGTTGGCCTGGATGCCTTTAAATACGCGGCTTACATTGGCCAAAGATTCTTGTGTGGACCAACATTTGTGTTTGACGCGGCTTTGAATCGCGATTCATCGTTACTTCATCTTCGGGTTGCAAAGCAAGTGCAACGAGACTGTCATTCCAAATACAACCATTCAAATGACAGACTCTCCTTTGAAATCTGTCTTTGCCCATCTACAAATGCTGTACGTTTTGAATGCAAAGTTCATTTTGTGAGCATGTTTCCCTGGCTGGTTTTAAATAGCAGCAACTCCAAGAGAGGTTTTGGCTCTTTGAAACTCGAATTTCTTCACACCAGCAGACGGAACATTTACCAGTGACTGAAGCCCTGTCCAAACGGGAAATGTTTGGCGACCAAACTCGATCAAACATTGTTTTTGGTGACCAAACATGTTGATGTTGTACCAGTATCAAACATGTCTGAACATGGTCGGTGTCCAAACGAACAACATGTTTTACAATGTGTGATCCATTGTTTGTCGGCGTTCAGATTCTATTATACACGATCAAACAAGGTGATGTCCAAACGGAAAAATGTTTGATCGTGTTTAGTGGCCAAACATTTCTCGTTTGGACTGGGCTTTTAAAACATCGCGTACACTATAAACATGGTTTTGACGCAACAGTATTTTAAATCCTCTAAGTTGAAATGAGTCGTTTTTACTCAGTTATGTAAATGATCGATGCACTGTTTAAATGGCGTAATTCATGACATAAAAGAGAAATTATGATAAGTACACCGTAATCTGTAAACTGTACCTTTATTTATATATCTAAAGTGTATAGCCTAGAGTATTGTATTAATAGATATTATATTATTGCTATAGTTTTTGAAATAAAGTGTACATGATATATGCTCAAATTGACGTACATGACTGATTTTGATAATTTATCTGCCGCTTGTTATTCGGGCTTATTTTCTGTTGAAGCTTAATAAGCTAGTTCAATATCCTATCTTGTGCCTGTAATTTCCTCTGGTAGCATTTTGAGATGCGGCTTTCGTGCCGTTATGAATGCAGCCGTGAGTAAAGAATAACTTGAACATCTTGTGATTGGAGTTTTCCATTCTAACTTTTCTCGCTTATTTGCATTTTGTGTGACAAAAAGAGCTTTTTTCTTTCTTGACACCCTGTTTCAGTTGCTTCGTCGAGTCAACTCTGCCTGTTCTTTGCTAGCATGGCCCTCTTCAACTTGTGAGCTGAATTTGTGGTAACATAGCTTGTTGGTGTGTATTCCAAACAGTGCCGCTGTAGTCTCCACGTGAAAATATTTCCATTGCCGTATCAGCGTTATCCCTGGTTCAAGGTAGCAGCGTTAGCAAGAGTCCAAAACCCAAACAGTTCCCCTCTCTGTGACATTGTTTTCTCACGGGTTGCTTTCTTTTGGAATCCCCCTCAACACTATGTAGGGAACTCCCCATTCAGATGACCAACAAGGCCAGAAGGTCAGCGCTGGGCGAAGCTGTGGAAACTCCGTTGCAGCGTAGAAGTAAGCGCCGAGGACACAACCAGTGTATCCGGCGATAAATATCAGTATATGCCACGCGCAGTGAAGATAAGGGAACGACACGGACCTCCATATATCACAGAATACTCTGTCGTTCACCCAGAAGAGCACAGCAACAAACCACCATCCAGCACACGTAAATCCCAGTCTCCTGACTTTCAGATTTTGACAGCTGTGGACGGAAAAATAATCCGAAAACTTTGATGTTTTCTTTTACTGACGTTTCGAGTATTATATCGTAAAACAAATCGAATTGCTCGTCAAGGCAGAACAACTTTTATCTTCAGAAAGCCAAGTGACCTCCCAGTACACTTCCAGCGTTCTTACTTATCGATTCGCGTGTGTAGTATTTAAGCCTTATATTTTACTTACGGTATAGTACCAGAAGCTGTAGAGAGAATGTGCTTAGAATGTACCCAAGATGAGAACAAATGAGATCATTTCGGGTTGAGCCTCAGTTCGAA